TCAAGGACTTTGCTCGTCTGGCCCCCATCTGGCAGGCCATCCCCTCGAGAGGTGTGGGAAGGGACACTGCCAGTGAAGGCTGAGGCAAAGAAGTCTTTCAGTTCACTCAGCCTTCTCATCGGTTGTTACCAGTTTGCCAGTTTTGCTCATCAAGGGCGAGTACGCTTTCTATGGCCTCCCTTTTCTGGCTGATATACCTATAGAAGCCCTGCTTATTATTCTTTGCGTGCCTTGCCAAGTTTAGTTCCAGTTGCCTCTTGGCCTTCCTGACCTTATCCCTACAGAACTGGGCAGCATCCCTGTACCCATCCTAGGATACCTCTCCTTGCTTCCACTGCCTATGCCTTTCTTTCTTGTCCTTTAGTTTGCCTATGAGGTCTCCACTCAGTCATACTGGTCTCTTGCCTTCCTTTCCTGATTTTTTACACCTGGGGATCAAGAGCTCTTGCACTCTGTGGAAAGTGTCCTTAAAGATCTGCTGGCTCTGTTCTGCTCCCTTGTCCCCAAGGGCAGTTTCCCAGGTTGTCCTATTGATTAACTCCCTGAAGAGCTGGAATTTTGCTTTCCTAAAATTCAAGGTCCTGACTTTACTCTTTGCTTGCCTCATATCCTTCAGGACTGCAAACTCCACCAGTGCATGAACACTGCAGCCCAGGCTGCCTCCAATATTGATGTCACCAGTTAGTTCACATGCATTGGTGACCAACAGGTCCAGTATGGCATTCCATCTGGTAGGGCTGTCTATTACCTGGCATAGGAAGTTACCCTCCATGCACTCCAGGAGTCTCCTGGATGGCCTACAGCTCACCATGCTACTTTTCCAGCAGATGTTGGGGTGGTTGAAGTCCCCCAGCAGAACGATAGCCTGCGAGTGTGATGCTTCCTGTAGCTGGAGTGAGAAGGCTTCATCAATAAACTCCCCTTGGTTGGATGGCCTATAGTAGACACCAGCCTCAGGGTTCCCTTTGTTGCCTCGGTCCCTGATTCTTACCCATAAGCTTTTGACCTGCTTTTGTCTATTCCTCAGAGACAGCTCTTCTCACTCTATCCCTTTCTTGACATAGAGGGCAATGCCTCTGCCCTTCCTTCCTCACCTGTCCCTTCTGAACATATAGTCATTGATAGCCACAATGTGACTTGATGGCATTAAGATGGTTCAGATTGCCTGCTTAGATCTGATGGTTGTTATTTTGAAATAATAACTAATACTTTCACAGAAGTTTATGAATACAAATGAAATAAGGAAATTTAATTATAATGTGCTACCACAAGGAATTATTACGTATAGTAATGTGAACCTGGAACATTTTTCCATGTTTCCAGTTTCAGTGCAATTTGCAAAACAAACTAAACAAGATTTTTTTTAGACTTGTACTTTTGTGAAACCCATTCTCTGGTCTATCTTAGATGTGGAAAAATTTCATCCAGTATTTGACAAATTCTTCTGAAAAAAATGAATATGCTTGAAAAAAAATAGGAACCATTTTTAATTACTTGTAAATAGTAAAAAAGCTATATATATAGTTATTACAGAAAACAAAATGTAATGTGAGGAAGAAACCTGTACTGTGAAAGCTGTAGTTTATCAATCTTCATGGCACAAGAAATGTAATGACCACAGTCCATCCTTAATTTTTTCTTATTGCCTCAGGGAAGAAATTGGGACCTGGAAAAATAGATTCATTAACTGATTGTTCCATTGGAAGCTATTCATGTTTTCTAATTCCTTTTCATAATTCCTCTTCTTTAGACAGCTTTGCTTATATCAACTCATCTTGACAGTTACCTAAATAGGCTCATGTGCCACATTTCGGATTCTCCAGGGTCAATCTTAAAGATAACAATCCTTTCAAACTTAAATAGGGTGGGATTTTCTTAATAGGAGAGGGGATTCTTCTAACTCAATTTTAAAAGCTGCTCTGAGACAACTATCTGGAATCTTTAAAGTCAGTGGAGAGAAGTAAAAAATTGTATAATACAAATCATCTGACCTGTGTTAGATCACAGAATGTGATGAGACACTAACTTCAGGCCCCAGGATGGATATGGAGCAAATACTCCTGGAAGCCATGAAGGACAAGAAGGAATCAGTTAGAAAAAGCCAGCATGAATGCAGGAAAGGCAATTTTTGCCTCTCAAACCTGATTGTCTCCTGTGATGAGATGGCTGAGGGAGGGAAGAGCTGTCTGTGGTCTCAGATACTGGTTTTATCTGGTTTGGATAGGTGAACTATAAGCTAGGCAGAAAATTGGGCTGAACTGCAAGGTTCAATGTGCAGAGATCATCAGGATGAAGTTCAACTGGCAGCTCGTTACTAGTGGCTCAGAGGTCAGTCCTGGGACCAGTGCTGCTTAATGGCTTAATTAACAACCAGAAGAATGCGGTAGAAATGTCCTCAGCAAGTTTACAGATGATACAAAATTGGGGGTGAGCAGTTAATACACTGGGGGCAAGGCTGCTCTGCAATAAGAGCTTAATAGACTGGAGATACGGGTTGCAGAAACCTCGGGAAGTTCAGCAAAAGCAAATGCAAAGTCTTGCACCTGAGCCAGAATAACCACATGTAACTGTGGCACACTGAGAAATGAGCAGCTTTGCAGAAAAGGACCTGGGGTGGACAGCATGTTAAACATTAGTCAGCAGAGCAATAAAGAAGATCTGCCACATATCGGGCTGTATTAGCATGAGTCTGGCCAGCCCATTGAGGCAATTCACTCTTCTGTTTTTGGCACCTGTGAGACTGAACCTGGAGCATTATGTCTAGTTTGGGGCTCCCCAGTGTAAGAGAGATATTAACATACTGGAGAGTGTCCAGCAAAGTGCCACCAAGGTGGTCAGGGGACTGGAGAGGAGAGGTTGAGAGAATGGTACTTGTTCTGTCTGGAGAAGAGAAGGTTAAAGGGAGGATCTGACTGGGTTCTAACTAGGTAAGGGATCGAATTGTTGTCTTTACTTAATGAGACCTTATGCAAGAAATGGAACTAATGTTTTCTGGTAGGCCCACAGTGAGAAAATGAGAGAGTTGGCTGTGAGGGCTGTTGCAATTAGTTACCTGGGAAAAAAAGATGACAGCGTGGGTGTACAGCATTGCAATAGATTGTCCAGTGAGATTATTGAATCTCCACCCTTGGAAAAATTCAGAACTTGACTGGACAAGACGACAAGCAACTTGGTCTGTGTTGGAACAGCTGATCTTCAGAGGTCCCTTCCAACATGCTTCATTCTGTGTGTTTCTAGTGTACAGATATTATCCAAGGCCAGGCTAAAAGGCTCTGAATTTTCTCGTAATGATAGCAATGAATCATTTCCAGAGAGGTTTTCACTATGTCCCACCACAGAGTGGTGAAATATGGTGAAAAGAAATCAATAATAGTCCTCAAATTCCCACTGGCAACAAGCGTGGTCCTGCCTGTCAGCATCAGAGTGCTGGATCCACAAATACAGAGTTCTTTTCACTGCTCGTGTCAGGTCCCTTGACTTTAGCGGCACAGGCACCAAAAGCTGGAATCCTGGTACCATTTCTGGAAGAGGCTTACCGCTCATCATGGGTTTGCATTCACCTTGTCCTCAAGCAAGCCTAAATGAAGGAAGACTTGCTGACCAAAACAACTCAGTCTTCTGGAGGCCAGACCTCTTCTTTATGTACTGTGTGTAGTCAGTTGCCCGAGGTCATGGAGTGAGGTTCATTTTGTTATGGAGAGTAAGCTGTTGTTCTCTTACAAAACCCCTCCAAGATAAAGAGGGTTATTTATGATATTGTAGTAAATGCAGATCATATGACCATTCCCCCATACCTGATTTTTAGATCCCAAGGCTACTGCAGACTTAGAATTTTATTTTATATACGTCTTTTTCCCAAGGATAATTCTTGTTGCCATCTGTTTTACTTCCTTCCTCAAAAAGGCAAGAGAGAACCACAGAATTACATGTTAAGATAAGCTTGAAGTTGGGCTGAAGGCTGGCTTTACATTTGTCATCTATTAGTTTTACGGATGAGAATCTGCAATAGGTACAGAAGAACAACAAATAAGTTGTTTTCTGGGAAGGTGTTCTATTGAATGTGAATAATTCATTCTTTTCATTTATTTGTTTAAGGTTGTTGTGAATGCGCTCTTGGGAGCTATCCCCTCAATCTTGAACGTTTTGCTCGTCTGTATTGTCTTCTGGCTCCTGTTTAACATTGCAGGGGTAAAATTACTTGGGAAAAAATTTTGGAAATGCATACTCAAGAAAGGAAATATCAGTCTAATTGATAACAAAGATAATTGTACTTTCTATAATGGAACATGGACAAATAGTGATGTAAACTTTGATAATGTTGGGATGGGATACTTGGCTCTTCTGCAAGTGGTAAGTTCTATAAAAACAAGCTCAATTTTGTTTTCTTAAAGGAAATGTGTTGAGCAGCCCAACCACGGGACACCACTATGCTTCTGTTTATCTCACTGAAACTGGGGATTTTTTTAGTTTACATAAATATTTTTTTTATCCATAAGCTGCTCAGTTCCTCCTAAAGGACACTTTAGCCTATGCAACATTGTGTTAAAATCAAGCACTGTGTTTCATGGCTTTTCAATTTTGTTTTGATTTTGATTAACATACCAAGCCTGAAATAGTCTGCATGTTACCCGATTTAAAGTTATTCTCATTTTCTTTAGTAAAACTTAGTTCAGAGTGGATGTGAAAGAAAAAACATGATGCATTTTATTTCTATTACTGTATTTTCTTTTATTGTGTAAGTCATGAAGTATTGGGGTGCTAATTTATTGGAGAGAAAGGCATTTTTCAAAGTGTCTGTTATCCCTCTATCTTTTCTGGATGAAGTTCTTTGCCCTGCATCCTCCTAAGTGTTCTGTGATTCTGCAGAGTTGCTAAAAATTGCAGGAAGGAATTGTCTGCTGTTTTCTTAGAAATTGTTTTCATCCTTTTCCGATGTATTTGTTAAGCTGAAGCTTTTACCGCTTTTTCAAAAAACAGAGAATTTACAAAAATTTTATTTTAACAAGAGTTAACATCAAAACACGTTTCACAGGATTCATGGCAATTTTTTTTTATTTTCAGGAGATTTTTTTACTCTTTACTAAACTTCAGTGAATCATACTTCCAAGCAGATCTTTAAAAGATGGCACATTTTTATAGCACACTGCTCACTTTTCCACAACGCTTAACACATATTAGCTCTACCTAATTCTTTTTTTTTTTTTTTGTGATAATAACCTTAATAATGCATTTTTTTCAGGCAACTTTTAAAGGTTGGATGGATATTATGTATGCAGCAGTGGATTCACGTAAGGTATGTCATTAAAATGAAATTTTAGTTCTTTTCCGTTTCCTTCTTTCCTTTTCTATCCATACAATTTGTTTTTCATCTTTGTAATATGAAGTCAGAAATACAAGCAGAAGAATGCATCAAACTACGCTGTGAAACAATAATCCTTGTAGTACCAAATATCTGCAGCAGAGACAAAAGAAAACTGGTCAAAATAGAGTGACACTACATAAAAACCTAGTATATCAAGAACGCAGAGGGTAGGATGTTGGAAGATTTGGACAAGTCTGTTTTGGGAACAGACTTCAGAAGGTCTTGGAGGGACTGTGCATCTGAAGCAAATTTCCTTCTTTTTTAAGTGTGTACAGTAGCATTCAAATGGCATCCATCTTTAGCATTTTTTTCTGGAGGTTTTCTTCCCTGTATTTATCCTTACTATTTCCTCCCCATTTCCATGTGCTGTTTCTCACTTTCTTACTAGTACAGTGTGTTTTAACTTTTCTATGTTTAATTTAATTTGCATTTTCCATATTCATTCAAGCGCTGTACTCTTGAATGTAGTGAAATAACTGCTAATTAAAAAGATCGTTCCTTGTAGGTCTGATCATAGTGAGCTGGCTTTTTCAAACTGCTTCTTGTCTGGGATAGCATTCAAGGGGATGCAGTTCACCATTACATTTAGTCTGAGCTGTTTTTCTAATCTAGGCTTTCACAGTATCACTTCCGATTGGAACTGTTTATCTCTTACTTAAGAATTTGCTAGAGCTGGATTTGGCTATATATCTTTCTTTGTAATTATCTTTACAAACGATAACAAGACAGAACAAGACAGTTGTTCTACTTGTACATCTAAATAAAGGTTTAAATATGTAGAAATCATTTATCCCTCCTGACAATAAGAAGATTTTCTATTGTAAATAGGAAATTATAAAGCTGTGTTTATCTGATTTTTACTGATGCTATTTTTCTGTGTGTTTTTTTTTTTAACAGATAGATGAACAGCCGAAGTTTGAAGCATTCTTAGCCATGTACATGTATTTTGTGATTTTCATTATTTTTGGATCTTTCTTCATGCTGAACCTTTTCATTGGAGTGGTTATCAGCAATTTTAACCAACAAAGGAAAAAGATAAGTACTGTGTGAGCTAATTCAGGGTCCCTTGTAATTCTAATTTGATTAAATGAACGCTAGTTTGACATCCAGATGTCTAACATTTTCAGATTACTATTTGACCAGAGAAATAAAAAATAGTATTTAGATACCAAGTTTTGAAAACAGGAGTCCCCTTTTCCTCAAAGCTTTTAGTAATTTGCCTGAAAATTCTATTTTCATGGTAATTTTCACTTAATTTGTTCTAAGTAGGAGGACGAGGAGGAAGGATTAGGTAGTTCTAGAAAAGAGTAGCCAAAAAAAATTACATAGACTTTGCTACAGGAGAGTGGAATTATATTCCTCTGCTTTGAAGATTTACTTTGGAGAACGGAATAACCCTTTTTGCTGAAAGTAAACACCTAACTAATGTGAGAAGGATAATCAAGGAGCACTACTGCTCATGGAAGAAGTAACCACTACTTTCCTGGTAAAGAAACTTGAAAAGATATTGTTATTCAGAACTTCTTCTAAAACTATCTACATTTGAAAAATCCTGTTATCAATAAAGTAACCCTATAGATTAATTTACTGGGGTTTTAAAAAATTTCTGCATTGAGATCCAAGCCATGGACCGAGGAAGAGGCCATGTAGAAATTTAAAGGCTTCTTAAAGCCCATGAAGCACTGACTGCTTCCACTTTTCTCCTCATAGTTGTTAGATTCCCTGTTCTTTTTGTTCAGTAAGAAATGGAAGGCAAAATGGATGCTTTTGACCCAAAGTAATCTTCAAAGCAGAAGACAAGAATTCCACTCTCCTGAGAATTTCTTAGAATGGAAAATGCAACAACACAAAAAAATCAACAGTCAACCTTCCCTGGTATACTTCAGGTTCTTTGTGCCGATCTTATAATTGAGTTCTCTCCCTGATTCATTTAGGGGCTTAAAGTATACAGAATATCAAGGGAAATTGAGCCAATTAATCCACTTGGAAGTCTTAAATAAACATCTTGCTCATTAAAAAAACACCACAAAAGCAGACTCCCGACAAGAGGTTAACAATTGCAGCATTCACATTCGGAAGACAGGATCTCTACAGGAGCCATATATTATTTCCATAGGCTGACTTCTACACAACGTGTCAAAGAATTACTGCCCTTGGTAGAGATAGGTAGTAATAAGGCCCACAAGAAGAAATTCTTCTCCTCTCTGCATTTGAACAGAGAAGGGATATGTAGGGGTTGAGGAACAACAGTCCAACTTCATTATAATAATTTCCTTTTATAACAAAGTCCAAGTTATAATAATCCCAACAGACAGAAACAACACTGGTGAAGTAGCTTTTGAGCCTGAACACTTACTAGAAGTTGATGTGGATGTAACACTTTTTTCGTTTCTCAGTACATACTGTAAGTAGGCTTTTCTTTTTTTTTCCATTTGCTGCTTCTTGGGGATTTTCATTGAAATGCCATATAGTGAAGTTAAACTGAATTTTCAGAGCTGTTGTTGTTTGAGTGATTCAAAGTGCAGATGCTCTACTGAACATTGTTATCGGTTTGTTTTAAAAAATGCTTTTATGATGAATGACTTCTCCTGAATACCTGGTTCAAAGTGATTGCTAATACAGGTGGTGTAGATGGTAATAAGATGAGCACCAGAAGTTCATTATCAGGATCCTCCCCTAGAACGTGGTCCCAAAGTGCTTATTCATAATCCCCCATTTACAGCAATATACTTCTGTTTCTACCTTTCCCAAAAATATATATGAAAGTATTTTACTTGTTTATGAGTCTTATGTCATTTTTAAAATATAAAGTAGATTTGTTAGACTTCAGAAAGGCTCTCACAGTTGAGGAAGCTGACTTGGGAACACTATCTAGACTACGCTTTCACAATCAAACCCTGATCAGCATTTTGCAGTACATCTTGTCAAGGAACCTGGGGAAAAGGAGAAATGGTGAAGACATATTTTGTTTCTGCACTCTTAGATACTGCTCATGACAGCTGTAACTTACTTTTTTTTACATAAACTTGCTGGTGTTTATTTAGTTGACTGCTTAAACTTCAGCTGAGCAACAGTATTCTTTCCCTTTACTTAGGTGGAAAAGATCTATTTCTGACTGAGGAACAGAAAAAGTACTATAATGCCCTAAAAAAACTTGGATCCAAGAAACCTCAAAAACCCATCCCAAGACCATTGGTGAGACCATCTTAAGTAGAATATGATAGAAAATATAAAGGTGGTGACGATATTTAAACTCAGTAGCCAGGCATCTAGAAATAAACTTCATGTTAGGGCCCATCATCTTCCTCATTCAATATAGTATTTACATTTTACTCTCTTTTTCTTAATTCCACCTAATGCAGTCTTTCTTTATGGGTATTAATTAAGAAAATTTACAGCCTATTTATTACCTATTCAAATGTGCAACCTATTTATAAAGGTTCATGTTAAGTATTTGATATTCATAACATGATGTTGGTTACTTAAGTTGCATGATATTGCTTCTGCAACTAGATTGGATTATTGCAGGTGAGAATACATAGTGAGTCGTACATGCCCCATGGCTGTTACTTACTTTTAAACAATCTTATGCTTTATTTCTTATAGTTTATTAAATTTAATTCCAGGCCTGGCTTCACATAGTAACTGTTCTGAGTTTTTCTTGCTTATGACATTTAAATTAGAATTGCTTATCCTAAAATGTCTGCTTCAATAAGTATTTCTATTAAAAGAGCAATCACAAAAACTCTGAATGTTTTCCTGCTGTATAATTTTGCTCGAAGGATATGTGGTTGTATGATACCTGAAAATACTTAGTCAAGTACCGAGTGTTTTCTTTGACGATCCAAAGAAATCACTTAAAAATGCTTCTAGTTGCTTATTGTTATAATTTATATTCTCTTAAATTCTCTTTCCAAGCACAAATTACTGATTAATATTTGAATGTAGCCTGGGTCTTAGAAGTAGCATTAAGCAGTTCTTCTCATTCTCTCCACAGAATGTGTTCCAAGGATTACTGTTTGATATAGTATCACACAAAGCATTTGACATTACCGTGGTGACTTTCATCTGTCTAAATATGGTCATTATGATGGCAGAAAGTAGTGAGAACAGAATCAAGGATGTCCTTAATAAAATCAACTTCTTTTTTGTGGCGATATTTACTGGGGAATGTGTCATAAAAATACTAGCCTTAAGACATTACTTCTTCACCAGTGGCTGGAACATATTTGATTTAGCTGTTGTGGTCCTTTCACTAGTTAGTAAGTATCAATCGTTATTAGAGCAGGTAATGTGTCTTACCAATACTAAGCCAAATTTCAGTATGAAGTTTCTTACAAACACATTCCAGATCCATTGTACTTTTTCAAATCATATGCTAAGTGATTCCTTCTAAAAAGGTGTATTTCTGTTTTCCCTTATATTTTTGCAGAGTACTAAAAGATAAATGGGTACTTTTCAAAATTTTTTTAAAGTATGAGTTTTATTGAGTAATTAACAGAATAGGAATTTAATGCAGTACATCTTTTCTGAGTTATTGTACTTAAACTGTTGTCTTAATATTTTTATGCTTTTGATTTAATGTAATCATGTTAATTGTTGTTTTCACACTAAAAGTAAACTCAGGATAAAAATACATTTGTGTGAAAAATGGGAAAGATTTATGTCATTTTCTAGGCCTTTATTCTAAGAAGGCAGATCCTGAGGGTTGATTTAGAAAGCTCAAGAAAATTTAATTGCTCAGCACCATTCTAAACCTGGGCCACTATTTGTGAATGTGAAAAGTCTTATTAAAACTGGCTTGGTTTTGTTTTGCTTTTCAAATAAGACTAGATGCTTATTGTTTCTTCTACAAAGGGTCATATATAGCTTTAGTTTCTCATACATTTTATTTGGCCTGTGCTTCCTACTCAGGCTCAGGTTATGTCATAGAATAAAGGACGTGAAAGAAAAACTGATCTGTGTTTTCTGATTCATCCCTAAGCACAGTACCCCTTTGCTATCCTATGCAAACCAGAACAATGCTAACTTCTTAAGTCTTCTGTTTGTAATAATTTACATTACTACTGTATCATTACTCTGACAGTAGGATCATAGAATGAGGTGTGATGGATAATGGATACTGGAAGTCAGTTTTTCTTTATTTCCTGCCTGCTCTTCTCTAATCTCATTCAAGTACCAAGCATTAATGGAAGTCTCACATTTAGCATGTGGCTACTGTGAGACTTCCTGCTGTAGAAGCAGCAGCAATCAGACAGCAGCTAGGAGACAAGCCCCATAGCTTCCAGCACAGGAGCTGAATGGATTTAAAAGGATTTTTTAAGTACTTGAGCAATGCGTAATTTCATCCCGAGTTAGAGAAATCTGGGAGAATGCAGTTTCCAAACTATACATAATCTTGATACCATTTTAGTATTTAAAGATGTTACAATTTGTCTTTCTTTTCCTAAGCTCTTTTGTAAGCAGTTACAGTACTGATGATAATGTTTTCGTTGAAAGTGATGTAACATGATCAATGTTACTTTCAACACCTGAAGCATAGAATTAAACAAAATGGACATAAGTAGGGAATTTCACTGGTATGGCTTAACAACTTTTTGTTTTCTTTTTCGTTTCAAAGGTATTGGACTTTCTGAAGGCTTTCGAACTTTGTTCTCTCCTACACTTCTGAGAATTTTTCGTTTGGCAAGAATTGGCCGAATCCTGAGATTAATTCGAAAAGCTAGAGGAATTCGAACTCTTCTTTTTGCATTACTGATGTCTCTTCCTGCACTGTTCAACATTGGTCTTTTGCTTTTTCTAGTTATGTTCATTTATGCCATTGTGGGCATGACCAACTTTGCCTGTCTTGGCTGGGAAGGTGGGATTGATAACCTTTTCAACTTTCAAACCTTTGATAGTAGCATTCTCTGTCTCTTCCAAATTACAACATCAGCTGGGTGGGATGGTCTTTTGGTCCCTCTGTTAAAAGGATCTGATTCATGTGCTCCCAACTTAAATTTAACAGATACACAGAAAGAAAATTGCACAAATAAGGAGGTTGGTATTTTATTTTTTGTAAGCTATATAATTATATCATTTCTCATTGTTGTAAATATGTACATAGCTGTCATTCTAGAGAACTTCAGTGTTGCCACTGAAGAAAGCACAGATCCTCTTTGTGAGGATGACTTTGATATGTTTTATGAGACCTGGGGAAAATTTGATCCTCAGGCAACACAGTTTATTGAATATTCTGCTCTTTCAGACTTTGCAGATGCTCTGACAGAACCCTTACGCATTCCAAAGCCTAATAAAATTCAGCTTATATCCATGGACCTCCCCATAGTTAGTGGAGATAAGATCCACTGCTTGGATATCTTGCTTGCTTTTACTAAAAGGGTCTTGGGAGAATCTGGAGATTTGGATGGTCTTGAATTACAAATGGAAGAAAAATTTATGGTTGCCAATCCATCTAAAGTTTCTTACAAGCCAATTACTAGTACCCTTAAAAGAAAACAAGAGGAGGTATCAGCTCTTATTATTCAGAGGGCCTTCAGGAGGTATTTGATGCAGCGTTCTTTTAAAAACAAATCTTTCCTATACCGTCATAAACATAACAGTGCTGTCTTTGAAGAAGAAACACTTGAGAAGGATTGTCTTATTGCATCAATGCTTAATGAAAATAATGGTAGGAAGCTAGATACTAGGACTACATCTTCCGTATCTCTCCCTTTATTTTATGATGGTATTGCTGAAACAGATAGCAATAACATCGACACTTAAGGTTGCCCCAGGCTGCAGAATTTTTAGTTAAACTGATATCTGTTATTTTCACATGGAGAAAATATTTTGATTCCAGAGCATAATAACCTAAATTTAGAATAATGATGGCAGCCTTTAAGTATTGTGATTGTTCAATTTTGCAAATGCTCCTTAAAACAATTAAGATTTGAACAATGATGTCATAAATATTATCAAACCATGAATTTTTTTTCCTCAGCTACTAGAGTAGGTGAGTTAATATTTATACCTGCCATTTTTTGTATTACTTCACATTTCTGTGTTTATAGAGGAAATCTGTAAAATATCAGTTCAACTGTAATATGATTTATAAGCACATAAGGCTGTAGAACAATGTATAAAAGCCTGGTTTTGAAAAATTGGTTATGTTAGCAAAATGAAATAATCACTGCATTCTCTGTAAAAGAATTCACTCGAGACACTTGAGTATAATCAGCCACTAATTGCTATGTTTTTTGGGGACCATTTTCCTCCTAGTGCCTCTGGATGGGTTTGTTTATGTTTAAGAACTTTTGAGGTGTCTTTACACATGCACCTAAATGGATTTAGCACATCATCCTCAGGTGTCTGTGCTTGAAGGTTGTATATAATTTGTTCTTTGTGTCATTCAGTGTATGAAAATTGTGATAATAATAGTTACCAAAATCAAAGGATGTTATGCAAGAGGAATTGTTTCCAGAAAATCTTAAGAATTATTGTACATAAAATTTCATCATTGTACTTCATCCAAATGTCATAGAAAGTATTACTTAGCAATGTGAAAAGGAGTTCATGGTATATCTTATGAGACAACATTTATAAAGTTAGAGGAAGTATTTATTTCATTGGTTCTGAAAAAAAATATGATCAATGTGTATTAATATTACTTTTTCGGGTTTTTCGCAGTTTAGGTTAGTCATTTGAAGCGTCACGGTGGCCTCAGAACTACTACTGAAATAGGACTATTTTAGATTCTTCAATAAAGAGTTCAGATGCTTAATGCATTTTTGTCTGTTTTGTAAGAGGTATCTTCAGTTTCAGTTTATTACAAGACATAATCTGTTATTAGAGGGGTAGAACCACAGTAATACAATTTTCCAAAAACAGCTACCTATTATTAGCACAAGAAACCTGAAAATGTTTTACCTTTTACAGGGAATCAGAAAAGATTTAACATTTTCAGGCCAAGAATAACAGGAACAGTAAGGTAATTACTCAATTTTTACTGTCATTTCCCTTGTTAAATACTATTAAAATATGACAGATATAGTCAAATGTAAGCTGTTTGTAGGACAAATCAAGGCACGTGAAAGCTGAGAATTAGAGTTCAGGTACAGTGTGGTTTGAACTAGCTTTATTACTTCCAAAACCAGCTCCTGTTCCGTGTAAGGTTGACAAAGGAGGTCTGCAGCCGCCTTGGGATGGTTAACTCGGAAATGTGCACTCGGTGTCGGCAGCACTGGGCAGCAGCATGCAGAGATACTTGGCGGGTCTGCCCGAGACCTCCTGTCCGGCCTGGGTTGCTTTTGTGCCTGCGGTGCTTAGTGGTGCTTTTGAGGTGACACTATTTATTCTGTTCGGTGTGAGTTGGGATGAGCTGACAACTTTTATTCAACGATCAGATACCATTAGATGGCAGCATTTACTGCGTTTTAGTATGTGGCCGGTCTTAAGTGAAACAGATGTTGAACTTGTCACGGAGGTATTACATTAATTGTAAATAACTTAGAAAATAATGTCATAACTCTCTTTTTTCTGTCCTGGGCTCTCAAGCTAGCCACAGTTCTCAGTTGGTGCTCGTTCACTGACTTGTTCTGTTTTACACACGACAGATTGACACACCTTAATGATTGTGGAAAAAAAATGTTCTCTTGTGTGCTCGGATCTTCCAGCAGGGTAGTTTCAAGTATATCTCTACAGCACTGTTGCAGGAAATGTTTATTAGGAAAGAGGTAAGAGTGCTTTGTTCTTGCATGTTGGAAAAGAAGGAAAGACTGGAAAAGCCACATGAGAGAATTTTAAACCCTAATAATATGTAACAAGATGCCATTTAAGTAAAAAGTAATATGATCTTTACAATTTAAAATTATGTTTTTTCAGTGCAACAGCAGGTGCTGTGCCCTGGTCCATAATTAGAAATACTTCAACGGTGAACACTTTATTTCCGTTGTAGGGGCAGCAATTTTGGACAAAATCGCACCTGGCATGAAGACATCCTTAGTGATTATTTTATCTCAGAAACATACAAAAGCATCTGGAGTCACCACAGTGCAAATTTAAAACTCTGACCAATATTGTAGTGCTGCTTAAGCATTAAAATAGCCTTAGCACACTACTGCAGGGTTGAAAGGAGAATGGTCAGATCCAGCTGTTGCCGCTTCTTCATGCTAGGATTGCCCAAAGGCCAGTCCAGCTGCTGAGGCAACGTAGGGTTTCTTTAAGAAGACTGTATACGGTGATGAGTTAATAGCAGTGAACAGGTGGGAGTTTTTGACAATTCTGGCATCTGGAACTGTGAATCCTCCAGGTAAAACTGCCTGGACATATGTGAACTTCATGAGAAGTGGGCAGGCATGCTTGGAACGTAGTGGAATAATATTCCTGTTTATGAAGAGAACAGCAAAACCAAAGGAATATTGGACACACACACACACCCCCCCCCCAGCTGGGAAACACTGTGCATGTAAAGCTACTAGTGAACTGAGGACCAGCAGTATGATACACAGCAACATTGCCTCCTTAGTGGTGGTGCAGAACTCCATTTATCACTTTCCTGTGTAGAAATAGTTAGCGACTGACCACTGGTAATTATGAGTTTTCTCCTACTTTTGTGATAGCCCTGTGTCCCTGAGAACAGGCTCCGTAATGGCCTTGTGGAAACTGTCCTTTTAACTTCTGGAGCTCTTCAGTTACTGCTAAGCTGGCGATGTTTGCCCTATCCATAGTGTTTCTTCAGGACTCAAAGAGGCCCGGTTTGTAGTTAAGTTATTAGAAAAGAAATTTACCAAAATCAAGAATCTCATCATGGCATCTTTTCCCTGAACCTGCCAAAGGTTATTGTGCTTGACAAGTATGTCATCTGCAGTATCACTTTCCAAAGTGAGGCAAACATTCTGTCTCAACTTGAGAAAGCCCAGCAACCTACATTATGCAAGAAGACATGCCAAAATATGCTTTTCTAACTCATATTTAGAGTCAATGTTCCCATAAGAATAGCACACCCAACAACTGTAGCAGCTTTAGGCAGAGGCCAGGATTGTTACTAGAAGTGATGGAGAGGAGATCTATCATATTACGCTGAAGCTGAGTAGAACAAATTTTTCAATATTTATGGAAAAAGTTACAAAGATGGAGGAGCTGTGTTTAAATATTATTGTTAATTACCACCAGCTAATAGCAAGTCCGACTTAGACTTGCTTCAGCAGACTTTACAGGCTTACTTTCTGAACTCTCTGTGTCTCACCTGCCAAGGAAAGGTTCTGCCAGTTGCTTCAGAGATGAACAATAAAATGGGCCTGGCACATGCAGAGCTGCCCATCTCTTCTGCTCCTCAGAACACAGACTGCCTTCAGTATGAGCAACCTAGACCCTATCCCAGATTATCCGCCTATCAGGAACATCCATTTCAGCTATCGGTTCCCTTCTGCTTTGGAGTTGCCTTGGAGATAGACCTGAACAGATATATTGTAGTTACTAAGACCTACTTCAGCAAGCATATTGTTGTCCTGGCTGGTCAGATCACCATGCTTTAGGCAGGTCTCACTCCAGTGAGCCTTCTCTGTGGTTTCCCAGCCTTCTTCCTTTTTACTTTTTAACATGAGCTTAACATATTGCCTACTAAGTCTGTGTGGAAGCCCATGCAACAACTGCCTGTGCAAGCCAAAACTTGTGTGCATGTTAACTAACTTGGCTCTTACGTGTAGATAATGGTGTGGAAGGAAGAACTACTTGACTTTCTGCCATCTCTCCCTTCTCCTTTCTTCTTCTATCTGAATGAATCAGATGGTTTCTTCAGTTATTCCTAGGTTTGGATAACTCTTTTCAGTTTTAGTAGGTCAACAATTGCTGAATTCACAAATTCGTAATTATAAATATTTTTAGTAGCATTATAAAAAAGTCATTGCCCAGCTTTTATTTCACCAGCACCAACAATGATACAGAAACATAACAGGAAATTAGGAATGGAGTATCAGTAATCCCATTAGCCAATTCATTTATTACAGTATCTCATCACGGATGCAAGATAAAAATAAGAAAACACAGTTGTGATGACTAACCAAATAATAGCGTAACGATCCTTCCCCTTGGTATCCCTAAGTGTCATCAATTTCTAGCAAGAAAAGGATAGCCTGAAATGAGAGAGATTAGAAGAACAAGAAATGGTACAACTAAAAGGTCAGACTGATTGTTTGCACGCGGCTGGTACAAAAGAAACCATGAACAGGAAATAGGCGTTCAGGAAAAGAGAATGGAAATGGATGGGGAGAAGAGATGAACTTTGGATGAGAAAGGAGACTCTGGTATATTGAATACATACTCCAGGAATCACTGGCAATCGCATATTGCCTGCTAAATCTAGGAAGGTTGAAAAGAGCACCCATTATTCTTTTCCTGCCCACATAACAAACAGACGATTTTAGTTCCAGAAGTGAAAACTATATCATAAAAAAAGACTCCACCAGTACCTTAAGATGTCTATATTTCTAAGAAATACATAAGCAGTTCCTAGCAAATTGTTTGATCAATTTACACTAGAAAACAAAATGTCCAGTATTTCTGATACTTTGAATAGAAAGAAAATTTCTACTTTCTTCCTCAATCTGGCAACAAAATAGTCTAAGTTTTGCTTTAAATGGGCACATACTGTCCCAGTTTATCTCAGGTTTACTAATTCAACCACAGCTTTCCAGTGCTCTACTACCAGGTGGTAGTTATAAATAGTTATAAATGATTAAGAATCAAATTGCACGTTTGTTGCAAATTAATGCAACTGGAGTATTGTC